GACTGAGCGGCGGCTCCGGGAGGCGGCAACACAGGGGGGCCACACCCTGTATGTCCCCAGGGGGGCCCTGTGGGGGTGCGGGGACATTGCCAGGATGGACCAGGAGGGGACATTGGCTGTGAGTGACACTGGGGACACTCACAATGACCTTGGTGTCCCCCCCCTTGTCCCCACAGACCCTGAAGGTGACAATGACTGTGGTGTCACCCCCATTGTCCCTGAAGGTGACAATGACCTTGGTGTCCCCCCTACTGTCCCTCAGGCCCTGAAGGTGACAATGACCAAGTCCCCGCAGAGTTTCCGGGCGCAGGGGTGGCTCCGGGAGCGGGTGGCAGCTGCGGTGGCCTCAGGGACGAGGACGGTCCTGTACGAGGGTCCCCTGCGGCCCCTCTGTCCCCTCGCCCCCAACAATGTCAACACGATGGCAGCAGCGGCCGTGGCGGCGCCAGGGCTGGGCTTCGACGGCGTCACCGCCTGCCTGGTGGCCGACCCCAGGTGTGTCACCTACCCCCTGTCACCTCCCCCTCTGTCACTGATTGGTGTCACCTCCCCCTGTGACCTCCCATGGTGACATCCTAGTGCCACCCCCGAGTGTCCTTGTTGTCCCCTCATTGTCCCCTCATCCCCTCCTTGTCCCCCCCAATGCCTCCCTCTCCTTGTCCCCTCCTTGTCCCCTGAGTGTCCCCACTGTCCCCTCAATGTCCCCTCAATGTCCCCCCAATGTCAGCCCCAGTGCCACCCTCTCCCTGTCCCCTCCTTGTCCCCTGTGTGTCCCGGTGTCCCCGCAGTGTCCCCGACTGGCACGTGGTGGAGGTGGAGGTGACATCGGTTGGAGACAAGGGGCGGTGCCTGAGCGTCACCAGCATCCGCCGGAACCCGGCAGGACCCGGTGCTGTCACCGGCAGTGCCACCCTGGGCTCCTTCTGGAGCTCCCTGCAGGGTGGGTGCCACTGTCCCCAATGTCCCCAATGTCACTTTTGTGTCCCCAGTGTCCCTAATCCTCCTAATGTCCTCAGTCACCCCAATGTCCCCAATCCCCCCCATGTCCTCAATGTCCCCAATCCCCACTAATGACCCCAATGTCACTCTCTGCCCCCCACCCCAGCCTGCACCGGACACAGTGGGTGTGTCCGTCTCTGCTGAGCCCTCAGGACCGTGACGAGCCGGGACCCCCTAAGGACCCCCCAAAAACCCCCAGACGACCCTTTGGGACCCTTTGGGGACAACTGGGGATCTTTTGGCGACATTAAAACCTCCCCCACACCCCACAATGACGCCACCCTTCTTGTCA